TCTCCGTCCGCCCAGCTCTGAGGGCAGCACCCAACCAGCAGCAGCGTAGAAGAAAGGGTGGCAATACCATACCATGCCACCCTTACTTCTGCACTGCTGCCTTCAGAGCTGGGTGGATGGAGAGTGGTGGCTGTTGACTGAGGGCCCAGCTCTGCAGGCAGCAGCGCAGAAGTAAGGGTGGCAATACCATACCATAGAGTCCTGTAGCACCTTATAGACTAACAGACGTATAGGAGCATGAAAGCTCATGCTATCCCCCCAACATGGATAGGTAAAAATAACAAAAACTGTATGACCCTTTCATAAGCCGACCCTATATTTCAGGGGTTGGAAAACTTTGGCTCCTGGCCCATCAAGGTAAGCAGCTAGCGAGTTGGGACGTTTTGTTTACTTGGCGCATATGCAGGCATGGAGCTCCTCAGCTCCCTGTGGCCACAGTTCGCTGCGGGAAGCCACTTCCCGCAGCTCCCATTGGCTGGGAACGGCAAACCGTGGCCACAGGGAGCTGAGAGGCTCCATGTCTGCAGACGCTCCAGGTAAACAAAACAACAATATATTAGATATTCAATTCAATGATTCCATAGTTTAAAATCATCAAATTTTGGTGTAGACCCGTTTATAAGCCGACCCCCGCTCTTTGATGCATCACTTTTTTACCAAAAATATTCAGCTTATGAACGAGTATATATGGTGTATCTTATCCTTGCTTACATGCTTTGATGAGCAGTGAGATAATTAATATGTAAAGTATCACCTGAATTAGCACCCATTGAATGGAATGGACAGTGCACACCCTACAAGTTATTGTTTCAAACTCTCTGCAAATTGAAGCAGAGACCATTGCATCAGTCAGTTCGGACATATTTTGAAGATTTTTCCTTGCAACCATAACAGATAGAGTTTAACTTTTTTTTTTTTACATGAAAGTCGAGACTTGGAATAACAATTGAGAGGTCTGCTGTCTCTCACCTACCCGTAGCTAGTCCTTTGGCAAACTCTGCTCTAAAATATAATGTTAATTTTAAATATGAGCTTTGTTGTAATTATCAGACGTGGGAAAGAGAATAAAACCACATGACAAACTCTATTTTGCAAGACCAAGCTAATGGCCCATAAATCATGGGGACTGATCCTGCATCTGCTAAAGTCAATGTCAAGACTCCCATTGACATCAGTGGAAGTGGAAGCAGGCCAATGACATTTCTGTGCAGGATCCCACTGAATTTGTATAAATAAGGATTAGACCCATGGACATGGGTTTGCAAGATTGGGTCCCTAGACTGAATGTTGCTTACTTATGCTCCATAATACCAGATAATACTATTTTCCTTTGGACACATAAGAAGACCAACTAAAATCTTTGTTTAATGTCAACAGGCTTAAGAAGGGTTGATCTTTAACTGGTTTTAATTAAAAGCAGTTTTTGACATATCTTATATCTCTTTATTTCTAGAACAGTGTCAACAATTTCTAATGTCATCTCAGTCCTCTGACCATTGCCTTGATTTTAACATAGGTCACACTCATGAAAGGTCAATGTTTGCAGAGAGAGTAATTATTCCAGTCAGCCATTTTCTTTAAATCTTCTCATGAAGATATAATAGATAAAGATGGGTAAAACTCACAAAGGTAGAAGGAGAAGAGTATTAATGGGCTCTCCTTTTAGTCAGTGCTGAGTTGTAGAGATGAGGGGTTTTAATATGGTGGCATGGAAATAACATTATAGGCAGTTATTTTTTTATTGATGTAATTTGTTTCCTTATATTGCTATGAGACAAATTCTGATATCCTTCCACTTAGAAGTACCTTATTCCACACAGAATCATAGGACTGGAAGGGACCTCGAGAGGTTATCTGGTCCAGTCCCCTGCACTCATGGCAAGACTAAGTATTATCTAGACCATTCCTGACAGGTGTGTTTGTCTAACCTACTCTTAAATATTTCCAATGATGGAGATTCCACAACCTCCCTAGGCAATTTATTCCAGTGCTTAACCACCCTGATGGGAAGTTTTTCCTAATGTCCAAACTAAACCACCCTTGCTGCAATTTAAGCCCATTGCTTCTTGGCCTATCCTCAGAACAGTTCTTCTCCCTCCTTCTTGTAACAACCTTTTATGTACTTGAAAACTGTTATCATGTCCCCTCTCAGTCTTCTCTTCTCCAGACTAAACAAACCCAATTTTTCAATCTTCCCTCATAGATCATGATTTCTAGACCTTTAATCATTTTTGTTGCTCTTCTCTGCACTGTTTCCAATTTGTCCACATTTTTCCTGAAATATGGCACCCAGAACTGGACACAATACTCCAGCTGAGGCCTAATCAGCGCGGAGTAGAGAGGAAGAATTACTTCTCGTGTCTTGCTTACAACACTCCTGCTAATACATCCCAGAATGATGTTTGCTTTTTTGGCAACAGTGTTACACTGTTGACTCATATTTAGCTTACGGTCCACTATGACCCCCAGATCCCGTTCCACAGTACTCCTTCCTAGGCAGTCATTTCCCATTTTGTCTGTGTACAACTGATTGTTCCTTCCTAAATGGAGTACTTTGCATTTGTTGTTATTTAATTTCATCCTATTTTCAATTTTAATCCTATCCTCCAAAGCACTTGCAACCCCTCCCAGCTTGGTATCGTCTGCAAACTTTATAAGTGTATTCTCTATGCCATTATCTAAATCATTGATGAAGATATTGAACAGAACTGGACCCAAAATGGATCCCTGCAGGACCCCACTCATTATGCCCTTCCAGCATGATTGTGAACCACTGATAAGTACTCTCTGAGAACGATTTTCCAACCAGTTTTGCACGCACCTTATAGTAGCTCCATCTAAGTTGCATTTCCCTAGTTTGTTTATAGGAAGGTCATCTGAGACAGTATCAAAAGCCTTACTAAAGTCAAGATATACCACATATACTGCTTCCCTCCACCCACAGGGCTAGTTGACTTGATTTGAATAGGACTATTTGTGGGGTTATGTACTACTCAACAGAAGAAATGTCATGAGAAGCTGGTCCTAAAAACACTCTAAAACATAGATCTGATATAGCACTTTTCATATGGAGATCTCAAAGTGCTTTAAAAAGGATGATGACATTGTTATCTCTAAGTGACTTGCCCAAAGTCACCCAACAGGGCAATGGAAGAGTCAGGAATTGAACCCAAGGTTCCTGAATCCTAGTCAACTACCTTATGTACTAGGTCTTACTGCTCCCTGTGCAAAAAGATGTATTATTTCTACCTGGTTAATGTTCTTCCATATTATAGCTCACTGACATTTTTCAAATGAAATAATTTTTGGTGAAAATATGGCCTTTTTTCAAAAGTGAAAACATTTTCGGGAAAAAATCTTTTGATGTTTACAAATTTTCAGTTTTGGTAAAGATGTGACATTTTAAATTCCAAATGATCAAAAATGTTATCAAAACCATAACCTAAATGGTTAGTGCTTTATTTTGTTCACTAAAAACTAGCTTTGGTAATCAGAACATTTTGGTAACCCTTTTGATGATATTTTAAATAATGTTTGTTTGGTTTTTTGATAAATTTTGTGTTTTGAGAAACAAACAAAAAATTCAGGAGTTCATTTTTCATGAAATCTTTTTTTCAAAATTTTGACCAGTTTCATATGAAGTCCATGAAGTAAGGACCATCTTTTTGTTCTTTGTACGGCACCTGGCACAGTGGGGCCCTGGTCTGTGATTGGGGGTCCCTAAAAGCTAATGCAATGCAGACAATGATAAATGAAATAGAAAACAGAAAAATTATATAACAAAGAGGCATAAAAGGATTTAATTTACTGCTGAAATGATCAAATTATTTCATCAGAATAAATGGGATAGAGATTTAAGCCCCTTATGCTTAGTTTTAAACATAGGAATAGTTAAATTAAGTTTAAACCCATTGAGGAGCCAGCCCTATATTTTAAAAAAGAAAGTAAAAACCAATTAATGTATGTAGCTGAATTTTCAGATCATCCTATAGGAAAGTATTCTACATAATATCCAGATTTTAATAAGCAAAGGGGGGTGGGTGTTAAATCTGTAACTGTATTGGGTTCGAATAATAAGATTCAGTCTTGACACAAATATTAAATCTGAACATGCCCTTTACTGCATCCTCAGTGTAAAAATCTTCTGCCCAGATAGATCAATTGCTATATGTGTGTGTGTGTGTACTATATATAAATTCCTTACAATTCTATTTTATGTAGTCCTTTTTGAAAGGCGTTCAAGAGAGCTCCATTGTCAGCATGCTTAATTGCTCAAAGGTGGAACTTTATGTTCTAATGCAGCATTAGAAACTCTCCCCCCCCTTCATAAAAATCAGACCCACTGAATGCTGAAGAGCACTAAACTTTTATATTTTATTTAGAAGTGAAAATGTGAAGTTGCATGTCAGCAATCTGCAACCTCCTCTATGGTCACTGCTGTGCTGAGAGAAACTCCTGTAAAACTCAGTTCCACTTGAAGGGTGGACAGTTTGACAAGAGAAGAACAAAAGTGGGGCACATTTTTTAAATGTCTGTCTCCAGCTAGGAACATAGGAATGGCCACAGTGGATCAGACCCAAGGTCCCTCTAGTTCAGTATCCTGTCTCTGATAGCAGCCTGGCTTCCCAAGGGCCAAGGTACCACTCTGCGGAAGATGGTGCACTCACTCCACACTTGCAGCTCCTGTGCTGTGGAGATGGCTGGCCTTGGCTCTTGATTCTGGGCGTTGCAACCTCCGGGATTGCAGCGCTGCTCAGGTTTGGCCCCACCCCACATTCACAACATCAAGATGCAGCTTCTCATTGTCCCAGGAAACAAATCAAGGGTGGCAGTGTTGGCAATTGCCAGAGAAGACCAGCAAGTCACACTTTGCATTTGCAAAGTTCTTCCAGGTTGGAAAAGCTCTTCCTTCAAATGCCAACCCCATTGCTCTCCCTGTGTTCAGGGAACAACCAGACGCACCAGAAAGGCAGCTGTTAGAGACCCCGGCCGCAGAAGCACTAAAGTTCACTCTGTGTGAAGTCCTTAATTTTGTCTATGTTGTGATCTACCGCACCAGTGAGAAACTGAACCCAGCCTTCCTCTGATGGGGGATACACATGGCTTGACTTTGTAATTTCTAGGACTTTCTTTAATACAGAGGCCAGTTTGGCAGCATTGAGTCGCACAGCCAGCTGGTTCATGGGTGGATACATACTCAGTGCCAGCTCATAAACACTCGGGCTGATCTCATTGGTGATGTCTGTAAGATCATCTAGCTGAGCCACCTGTTCTGGGGTGTCTGCTTTGCCGTGAACCTTCACTGCACCCAAGAGCTTCTTCAGGCAGGCTTTGGAGGCCTTCATCAGCCCCATGCAGGGACCAAGTAGCTTCCGGTCAGCCTCAGACCAGTAGGTGTCCCTATTGCCCCGAGAGCCCAACTCCTCATCCTCCATGATGTCACTGTAGGGGTCCCGATCTTCCCCCTGAGCCTGCTCCATTTCCTCCTCCGCATCCCTGACCACACCCAGATAGGCGGCCATGGCTGACAGGACTGCTGCCTGGTTATCTTGTGGCAGATGGGAAATCTGTTCACAAGCCTCCCATACACTACCAGTTGATATAAGCTGCTCCTGAGACAAACTCTGCAGTGGAGTACGGAGAGTCACGTCTGTGAGCTGGATCATTCCTTCCACTACCTCGGCAGTGGCATCTCGCACCATCTTCCGGGAAAGTATCATTATCTTTAAGTATCGTGACCTGATTTGCAAAAATGCTGAGTGGCCACCATTCTCCTGTGGGCAGCATGACACCCAGTGGGAGCTGTGGGTGTTAGGCACCTTGAAACGAGTCCCATGGTGTCTCAAGCTAGTCTTCCAAAAGTCCAAAATCTGAGGCCTGGTCAAACAATAAAGGTCAGTAAATGGCTTACTCCAGCCACAACTTACTGCATTCAACTTGATCCTTAACAAAAGACCTCTGCTGAATCCAACAGCCTCTATTGGTACAAATAAACCATTGTAAGTCATTTTGGTTTGTGCTGGATTGAATCACTCTGGTCAAGGTCTTGGGGGAAGCCAGGGACCTTTAATTAGAGCACTTTGCTGCAGAGATATAAGGAGACAATTTTCAAATGTGTCTAAGTGGCTTAGGAACCTAAAACCAAAAGGCTGTAGGTTCCGAAGTCATTAAAGCATGTTTGAGAATTTTGCCTGTAAGTCTTTTTGTACGGGTAGCTTTATACTGAGACTTGCAGGTGAATTTCTATCTTCCCTTCAGCCCTGTCTCAGCTCCTTCCGTGCCACCCTCTCAGCAAGAGCATACATGCCCCTTCACAGGTTCTTTATACGATGAAGTTAGCTGCTCTCAAGTGCAGCTGAATATAAGTGCCTCCCACTTCAAATTCTTGGCAGGCAGCCAGCATTTTTGCAATTTAGGTTCATCATGTCCTCCCGATGCTGATCACTTCTTAAAGTAACTGAAATCATATGACCCACAGCACTGAATCAAACACGGTAAGCATCCATTAAATTCATCAGCTGGTAAAAACAGCGCATAAATCCCTAGTTAGCAGAATGGATTGTACCTAAGGAAAAGAAGAATCAAATACAATCTTTTTTTTTTTACTTGCGATTTATTGGCTGGAGGGGTCAGATCCTGCACTTTTTATTCAGCCCTTAATCTGGCAGAGCTTCCTTTGAATTCCATGGGAGTTTTCCCTTATTAAAGATGGCAGGATTTGACCCTAGAGCCTTTTCGAAATGGGGAGCTCTTTCACTAGGTGATTCATCCTGTTATTTCTTTAAATGTGTGGGGAATCTTCACACTTAAGTGCCTGGTTTCTGGGACTGATAAAAGAAACATATTGCAGACTCCATTTACCAGAGATGCTTTGAGGGTTAAAAAGAAGCTAGACCTGCAAACAAAACCAAAAATCACTACTTGTATTTGGAGTGAAAGGGTTAGAACAAATCCACCGCCCTAGGACTTAATGGATGTTACTCTGACATATGTCATGGCCATGGCATTATAGTGTGGACCTAAGTCAGATCTTCCCACTCCTAAAGGCCCTGCCTCTTGTGTTAAGTGTGTGGGGATTATGAACTATTTTCTAAAATGTTCAGTTTCAAAAAACTTGGCACTGTGCACCATTTTGTTGGAAAAACTGAGGTCCCACCTTCATTTTCTAGCATGGAACTTTACCCTTCAGGCTAGTGGAATCTAGCATCATGCCCTGCATAACAAAGGAGCCAAATGATATAGAAAGTATCTTGAAAACCAACTTTATGAATAGCTTTCTACCTGTGCAAGGTAGCCCCAACTCACTCATCATTTTGGAGAAACAAGGGCTCCTACATCACTTTCTATGAGGGGCAAAATCAGCCTTCTTTAAACTGACATCAGAAACCCACTTCTAGTTATATAACATTTCATCACAAAAAAGTAAGCTTATGTATAATTTTCTAGAAGAGATTCAAATCTGTCCCTCTGCAATAGTGTCACATAAGTTTGCATGAGAGAGATTACCGTTCCGTTCATTGCTTGATACTTTACATCACATGGCTTCATACATACAACCTACAGATCCAGGTTATTGCTTCAGGCTCTGCATTGTGGGAGATTGACACTTGCTTCCTGCTTCACAATGTATCATGAAAACTTAGCATTTTGCTTTCATTGACATCAACAGAAACTTGCCGCATGCTTAGCTTTGCAGAGCTGGATGAATTTTTTTTCAGGGAAATGTAAATTCACCAAAAAATGCATGTTTCAGATCACTGAAATAATTTACAAATTATAATTTACAAATTTGGTGAATAGTTTCAACCACAACCAAAACAAAAACAAAAAACAGAAATGTCAAAACAGTTCATTTTGACATTTTTGAAATAAACCATTATGGCATTTTGTTTTGAAATGACAGTTTCAAAACGTTTTGTTCAACTTGAACATTTGGGGGGGGGGTTCATTTCACTGAGGGAAAAAAATCCATTTCAGTTCAAAATGAATGAAATTCATTTTTGGATTTTTCAGTTCAGCGACCACACCAAAAAATCAATTATTTGCTCAGCTCTAATGAGGATGAACTTTAATATGTCATGAAACCCAATCTAAAGCAGCAAACTTGATCTCATGAATCATTCTCTATCAGGGAAACTCAAACTCAGGCTTCCAAATGTGGAAACTGGGCATTAGGTCTCTGTAAGGAGTCCAGAGGCCATGGCAATGAGCACATTATAAATGCCAAGATAGATAGGTACACAAGGTGGGTGCAGTAATATCTTTTATTGGAACAACTTCTGTTGGTGAGAGAGACAAGCTTTCAAGCTTACACAGAGCTCTTCTTCAGATCTGGGTTGTCTCTTTCTAACATCTTGGGACCAATACAGCTACAACACAGCAAACAAAGAGAAGTAGGGCTGATTTGCCAATTCTTGATTGAAATACTTGTTTCATATGAACAAGCAAAGTTGGAACAGACACTGGAGACTCCATTAGCTGAGGTCCCACACCACTCCTTAGACATTGAGGCAACCTGGTAGAAGCTCAGAGATGTCACATATAATACAGCATCCAAGGTTCTTGACTTTGTAATGCGGAAACATGAAGACCGGTTTGATGAGAATGACCTTGAGATAGACCAGGAAGGGAAACATATTTAGCTGTGACAACCATCAAAGAATCTCACTGCTCTCTATAGCGGGGAAGATCCTTGCACAGGTTGTCCTCAACAGGTTCGTCTCTCACCTAGTGAACTTGATGCACCCAGAGTTATAGCGTGGCTTTCGTGCTGGCTGTGCCACCATGGACATGACTATTGCAGTCTGACAAATACAAGAGACGGCTGCTGAACAGAACAAAGACCTGTACATAATGTTTGTTGATCTGACCAGAAAAGATGATTGCTGTCATCCACTCATTTCACGATGGCACGATGGCCAAAGTTATGGACTGTGGTGACTCACCAGAAACCTCCCCTGTCACCAACGGCACCAGAGAAGGATGCGTAATGGCTCTAGTCCTCTTTGCCATTGTCTTTTCAGACATGCTCTTGTTCGCATTCCAGGACTTTGACAGAGGTGTACACATCCGGTTTAAATTGGATGGGAGCCTAATTAATCTATAGCAACTCAGGGCACAGACCAATTTAATCAGACAGCTATTAAGAGAGCTCCTCTTTACCTCCGACTGTGCCCTCACTGCACACGCACTTGAGGACATTCAGCTTATCATGGAATGCTTTGCCTATATCTCAAAATGTTTCAGTTTCACAAACAGCCTGAAAAAGAGGGAGGCCATGTACCAGCCAGTACCAGACCACCAGCATCATGAGCACCTTGATCCCAGCTTTAGAACTCAAGTATCAGAGGGGTAGCCGTGTTAGTCTGAATCTGTAAAAAGCAACAGAGGGTCCTGTGGCACCTTTAAGACTAACAGAAGTATTGGAGCATAAGCTTTCGTGGGTGAATGCCCACTTCATTTTGCGTCTGATGAAGTGGGCATTCACCCACGAAAGCTTATGCTCCAATACTTCTGTTAGTCTTAAAGGTGCCACAGGACCCTCTGTAGCTTTAGAACTGACAACATACCCCTCAACGTGGTCAGGAAATTCTGCTACCTGGATAGAACACTTTCCACCAATGCCATGTTGAAGGATGAGATCATTCAGTGCTTGTCAAAGGCCAGCTTGGCATTTAGCTGGCTCACTTGTAGCCTCTGGAGGGAGGCTGCCTCAGAACAAAGATAAGAATCTACCACATTCTTTTACTCACCCCACTCCTCTATGGCTTTGAGACATGGACGCTCTGCCAATGCTACATCAATCAGTCCTTGAGAGATGCCAAATCTTTGACACCAAAAGCAACCTCATCAGGGCTCAACTTTCCTGGGTTGGACACGTGGTGCACATGGAGGTTTTCTGTATACCGAAAGCAGTGTTCTACAGCCAGCTGGGCACAAGGGTCGACCCATCCTCAGATCATGCAAGACAGACATTAAAAAATGGGAACTCGTTGCACTGGACACACCCAGACGGAGAGAGCTGTGCCCTGAGGCCATGTCCATTTTTGAGGAATGGTGTGTGAAGACTCTGCAGGAGAAGAGACCACGTCATAAGGCCAACACCTGAAAGCCTCCCCCCAACAATGACTACACTTGCAAGACAAGCAACCACATTTGCAAATCCAGGATTGGACTCGCTTCCCATGTGAGAAGCCATAAAAACAAATAAACCCAAAATTCAAATCAAAATTCTTATCTGTTGAAGCAATGGGAGAATCCATTATTAGAATCCGTGAATCTTCAACTGGTATAAACTGGTACAAGTTCCATTCAAGTCAAGGAGAACTATGGTAATTAACACACACTGAGGATCTAGCTCACTGTACTGACCTGAAGGAAAGTTATTGATTTGGATGAGTTTTACAGGATGCAAATGAAGCCTTTCCAAACACCAAAGAATGAGTCAAATTCCCCCAGGTAAAAATAGTTCCCATGAGCCAGGGTTTCTGATGTAAGTTTATAGTGTGAGTCCAGGTTTCCACATTTTCAGTCGTAGTGAATCAGGATGAGTTTCTCTGAGGTAATGGGAGATCTGAAGTTAATGTGCCTGAATGCAATTCCATACATGCGGTTGGGCAGCTCAGAGGTAACATGATGTGTGTGGTGTAGGTTGTGAAGTTATGCACTGGCTCAGGATTACCTGTTGTAAAGTGAGCCATTATCCCAGGTTTCCTTCATTCAAGGTTGTGAAGGAAGCAGTGTCTTCCCCTTAGAACGTAGTGCAGTCGTTTTAGGGTTGGGTTTTTTGTTTGTTTGTTTGTTTTTTGCATTTAATAACTACTTAAATGGTGGTGGGTGAGGTGGGGTTTTTTTTGGTTTATTCTTACTTTGATGCTCAGAGGAGGTAATTTTCTTTCTGTGTTTCAGTTGGATATAAAATGCAAAATTGGCCCTTTCCAGAATTGAAAGTGGCATGCCATGAAAAATGGCCATTTTTGCTATTTTTTCAAAGAATTCGATTTATGCA